CATCTCGTCGCATTGGTGACATATCTGGCTTGCACTATCATTGGTGGTGGAAGTGAGGTGTTTAGTCAGAGTTATGTGGACACGGGTACCCTCCTCGTTCATCCACTTTGAAAATTTCCTTTTATGGGGTCCGGTTTTACCACCACCTTTGTGTGCAGGGTTTGTCCCGATGCCAGGGACTTGAGAAATTTGTCGTGCTGGTGCCGAAGGGGAAGGAGTTGCCACTTGTTGCTGTTGCATGGCAAGTCTTTGGGATTGTTGGCGCTCCTTCCGAGCTCGACGATTTCGTTTCCTCCTCTCGGTTTTACAACTTTGTACGTCCGTGACTGTTGCCCTTTGTTGGCTTCCTGGATCGATACAACAATCGAAATTTTAAATTCCTTCGTCAGTCGTGATTGCGTTGCCAGTATTGAGGTATGTAAGGATAGCTATCACGACAGCTGTTACTGCGGCTTGAAATGTAGTGGCATCGATATGAAGGATAGGGGCTTCTTTGTTCAGCTAACTATTTCTAGATGATGACATGATTCTGCAACATGAAAGACAAGGAGTTTATGAGTGACTAAGGTTGGCTCTATATTATTTTGATTCTAACTAAAAGATGAGTTATTATACATGAAAACTTAGCTTATACACATTATGATATAACCAAGACTGGGCGGATAGTAAAATGTGTGATTCTACTTTAGTTTCACATCCCAACGAGGAAAAGAAACTAAGTTAGAAATCTCACATTCTATTGTCTACCAGGTCTTCGTTATATATAACTGGGGACTGTATAAGTGAGGAAATCATAATAATAACATTCTTAATAATCCTTCTTAATGAACTAGAATTCCTAGTAAAGGCTATCATTGAACCTAGATGTATTTCGACCGTTCACCTATAGAGTAGAAGTATGTTCTTGAAGGTTTGACCTACATCCCTATGATGCAGTCCTATTACGGAGTAGAAGTAAGTTCATAGAATGGTCTCATGACGTTTGTCGTTCAAACCGGGGTTCCATTGGTTGGCGAATAACATGATTCAACCTTTGAAAGAGAATTGGGAATGATCCCGGAGCTAAATTACCTTAGTCCAATAACTTGACTAGAGTGGGTTTCAGATAGACTCTTATGATAGTATGATGGAAGTATTTTAATAAAGAGTGTCACATAATTTAGCCAACTGACAATGTCATTGATGTTTAAGATGTAACAAGCTTGGAAAAATTGACCGTGTAGAGGGTCTTACATCACCTCTGGAGTAGGAAAGTTTTGGCCACTTAAAGACCTAACTAAAAGTACCTACAGTACAAGATGGTTTCATAGAGAATGCCACATAGGACATAGATAGGAAAAGTGATTCCTTTTTAACAGGGAAAGAAAGTAAGGCATCTACTACTGGCGGCGGTCATCCCTCTGGTGAACCCTCAGTTTAGCTAGTTGCCGCTCCATATCAAGCATGTGCCTTTCATACACCCTCTGGCGTACTCGAAGTTCTATGACTTCGGTTCGTGTTTCAGCCAGTGCTTGCAGCAGGGTTTCATGGTCTCTCTCAGATTTTTCACGAGTGTGCTCAAGGCGATTGGTGCGGATTGTATGCATTCTTGCATTTGCATCAACCTATGCGATACGATGGAGTGTTGTTCTGCCCTGAATCTCGTTTCGGGCAACTCTACTGACTGGAATTGGAGGAATTTTGTCTGTTGGGCTTCCTTTTCTTATGTTGTAGAAGCTTTGGTCTCTATTAAACGACATAGGTTGGTCTTGCTCTTCCCTCCAGGTTTCCAAGCATTCTACCCAAGGAGGCATCGGTCCTTGAAAAGCCGGACGAGGGTTAGGATTCGGAACAAGAGCCATTGGGGGTAGGTTCTCCACTTCAGGTTCGGAGTCAGAACCATCAGTAAAGCCTTCAGCTTGGTGACCATCCACATGGATTGGGTAATCATTCTCTGGCTCCTCTCCGGTCCATTCAGTATTGCCGTGGTTAGGGTAGTACGGGTCATCGTGGGGAAGGAAATCTAGTCATGACATTCACGCGAGAAAAGGGAGTATAAGAAATAACTAAGTAGACGTACTAATTAGATAATTATAAGATGATCTTCATAAGGTACTTCAATACTTTGTTTAGTGCATACTAGTCATATGTATTTGGGACAGGATAGACCTTCGAATAAGCGACCCTAACTCTAAATCCCCAATCCAACGAGAACAGGAAGTAAAGCAAAGACCCACAGATTCTAAGTCTATGACGTCCTGGATACATATAATTTTAATGTATCCACTAAGCAGTTATTAACCTATTGATAAAAAATCTATTTAGTTCTCAGATAAGTAATTATAGTAATACAAAATACTCCCATAGTATTTTAAACCCATGTTTTGTTCTAATGTTCTCATTATGGTAGTGTTGGTAAGTATTTAGACTTGTTGCCATATCACAACCATTCTTGGGCATATGCTAATCACTCCTCGAACCAGCATAGTTGATCAGGCTATGCCACTCCCAAGACTGACCATACATCCCCGTGCTTACCTGTGATATCCAACAATCGTTACTTTTGTTTCGTTCTAGAATGATGCTGACCTTAGTCCCAATTCATTTATAGTTTGTATATATTATGCGATTCGATATACTGAGTTCACTATAAACAATGCGCTGATACCAATCTGTCACACCCCCAAACCAAGGATGGCGGAAACGTCCGGGGGTGGAGGACTTCATGTAGAGTATCACAACAACAAGTATAATAGTGCTTAAAGTAAATACAACCATCATAAATATAATTGAAAAGTTACACCAAAGTATATGTTTACATGATTCGAATCAATTACATTATGATACAAAATGAACTGTTTGACGATTTATCATCCCATCCTCAAAACGTTGTTGATTTCCTGTTTCACTGAATTCCTGAGAATACAAGTAGTTTTGAAAAGTGTCAAAACAAAGGTTGGTGAGTTCATAAGCTTTTGACAGTAAGAGTTTGAAAATCGATCTTTGTAAAGAGATGTATGTTACCAAGAAAAATCCAATATTATCCTTATAAACGTTGTGGTCTCCTAAATACCAGGACCGAAAATGAACAAGTATTTGTCATACTTAAAGATATAAAAGTGGTTTCAAATTGGTGTAAAACCCTCTTTGAATTGAGAAAATTCCCGTAATGAATGGTGTGTAGTCTTAAATACCAAGACCGAAAATATACAGCAATATCTGTAATTATTGATATAATAAGTGATTTTAAATCGACATAAAACCCTTTTTGATATGAAGGTGTAGAAGTATTTTCCGTACTTAAAGTAATTTAAGTGAGCTAAGTCGACATAAATCACTAATTTAAAGTTAGAACCCGTAAATCTTATGATTTGTTAATACCACATGTGAGCTATCATAACCATACTTGACTTAGACGGCCTCGTAATGCGACGTTCTTCAGGTGTCGCCGTTAAATGACACTTGTCACCACAGACCTGCCGGTCTAGCTGTTACAAGCAACTCAGGTGTGGGTTTGTCAAACCCAATATAGATCTATACACAACTATCACGTTCTCCCTACAAGAGACTCTGGTTACAATTTACAGGACTTTTTGAATTGGTTACTTTGGAAGTAACCCGAAGCGAATGACTCACAAATTTATTCATTAACAGATTTACGTAAACTAAACGGAAAACGTTTGGTAAATAAGTTTGAGAAGTAAATGATACATAAACTATGCCTATTATAGTTACTAGTAATGTACGAGTGTACTCGGAAGTATACCTTTGCCACCCAAAGGTACTGAATTGACTGATGGAAAATTTATGACTATATATGTATACATGATATATAACTGATATTTAGAAGACCTTCGGACGGATAACTGATACCTATCAAACCACATCCCAACGAGGAAAAGGAAACAAGGCAAGCTAGTCGTTCTAAGTCCTTTAAACATTACTTATATAACTATACATATGTAGGCATGTATTTAACAATATAAAAGTGTAAAAGAAGTTTTGTAAAATGTTTGAAAAGTTTAATAACAAAGAAAAGATGACTTGATGTCAGTTTATAAAATGATTTGAAAACGGTTTGATAAGACAGTTTAAGTGAAAAAAACCTTTTATAATGTAAAGAGAGATAGAGTGAAAACGATTGAGAGAGGTTTCGTGTGTGACATTTGTGAGTGTCCGGCTTCGCAATGCAAGGTCCGTAAACCCCGTTAAGCCTTGTTTAATGATCTTACACACTCCCGATGAGTATGCAACATTGTCTTATCGGTTTGGTTCGTTACTTACCATAGTTTTCGGTTAAGGAAATCTAGATGTACGAAGTTTTTAATTTAAGATCTTTCATTAGAATAGCGAGTTGTGAAGTAATTACCTAACGTAAGCCCTAGAACCCACGGGCTAAGTGGGTCGACCGGTTTGACTTGTTGACTTTATTTGACTTTGACTTGACCAGATTTTGACGGTTGTCACACCCTCAACTTTCGATAGGATTCAGGACCCTATACATGGCCATGAGGTGGCTGTCGGACATCGAGGGATGCTTTTTCACATGTTCCTGCCCGACTGACTAGAAGGTCAGGTGTGCCCTGAACATCACTACAATAAAAGAACCTTTTACGACGCGCAAACCACGACACTCATTGATCTATGTTACGCAAAAGAGAGTGACATTAGAAAAGTACCGTCTCTTCAAAAAATTTAAGGATTTAGGTCACGCATTATCACGTGCCCTTAAATTCGTGTCTCATGTAAAAAATTAAAAACACGGAGGGCACTTTATCTAAAATGAGCGTCCTCTGTGAGTGTCGCTTTATATTTTTACACAAAACGCGCGTTTCTAAAAATTTTCAATAGCCCGCTTTAAACCCCCCTTCATTCTCTTCTTCCCTTCTATCTGCAAACCCTAATCACAATACCATCTCTGCTATACACCTCGACAACTCATATAATCGTTCTATAATTTATTTTCTTAAAAACTCGCGTTCTCTCTCTCTCTCATTTTCACTTCCCTCTCTCGCATTTTCCTACTGGTGCTGCCCTATTTCCTCGTCCTCAAGCCCTATCCACTCATCAATTCTTCTTCCGATGAATTTATTTGCCACACCAGCAGCTCTCACAGCTACACCATCATCGAATGATCTCTATCAACCAACAAAACCTTAACGTTCAAGTCTGACTGCACAAGAACCATTGGCCATATGCCTCATCTTCAACGGAACCATTATCTACTCATCGTCACCCACCCTGTCTCTGACTTCAACACCAAGAACCTCCATTTGGTAATCTAATATCCTCCTCTTTCCCTTTCTTTGAAGATAAAAAAACCCTAATTTTATTTGTTTAAAATCTCTGTTACTGAAACAGTCTACTTGATTTAAGAGAATTACTGCATAAATAACCATCACCAGAACCTCTTCACTTGTCACCGGAATCCTACCAGCCACCATTGTCCCTTCCTTCGACCATAGTAATTCCATCATTAACCAAGAGCACCCTATGTTGGTAAGTCTTCGATCTCTTCACAATTTATTTGATTTTCGTTTTTGACTTTATATATGTATATGTTAATTTCTAGACAGTAATAAGTTAGCTTGATCATAGTCTAGTATGAAGATGAAACTTACATCACCTCTTTGAAATCACTTCATCTTGTTAGACTCACTAAAAGCATCTTTTGGTTCTTAATATATCCTTTCTTAACCTGTAGGGTATAATTTATTGAATCTGATAGGTCCTCAAGACATGGAATGTCTAAAATTAGAGGAGAGTTTATGGCTGGTGTTCTACAACATCTTCCTCCTATTCTAGCTTTTACAGCTCCAATCCCAAACATGTAATAAGTTTTATTTTTTTTACTATTGATGATAATATGAAGAGTGTTTAAGAACATTAGGGCCTCTGCAAATATTTCTGGATTGTAAATTGTATTTTGTCTTGAATCGATGGTCTTCGCACACATCTCTCTCTCCCTAATCCTATTGGAAATTGGACAAGGCTCATAAGACTGTGAGTATATTATTTTGCTTTTCTTGTTCCTAGTTTTATAAATCTTTTCCATTTTCCAAATATTTCTGGTTGTTCATTTTATTTATTTATATATTTTCATTTTTAGCATTTGCAAGTTGGTGGGCTTAATGAGTTAAGCACTTAACCTAGACATGTATTTATGGTTGTTGTTTTTGCTTAATCTGGACATAATGACTTAATAGCTTAATCTAGTTTAATGTATTAATATACTAACTTGTTTTTTCCTCACAACTCCTATCACCTTAAAAATTGATGAATGTTGTGAAATTTGATTTTCTTTCTTTGAATGTGAGGGTAAAATGGTCATTCAGTCTACAAAAGGAATCACAGTTGATGTACACACCAATTTATCCATATAGATGTTGTTATCCATTCAGCCATTTTAACAATACAGTTGTTGATTCAACATTGCTGGGAAGGAAATTTTGGAGAAGGCAGATCTTGAAGTGGCTTTGAAAGGTCTAAAAGACAGGCTTATAACCAAGAATATGGTATGCTGAAAATTTTTCATTCTCAATATAAAGTTTCTTGGATAAAGTATGAAGTAGTTAGTTAAATATGACAAATGTACCCTTTTGGAATAGGATGAAGAGATTGCTGAGAAAATTTGCGAGTCTCTAGCAGTAAGCCTGGTGGACAAAAAACTTCCTTCTTTTACTAGGCTATCATCAACAGTTCAGGCGAGTCAACTCTGTCCTTTTTTGTCATTTTATGATTACTTGATTTGTAAAATATGAGAGTGATATTGAGTGCAGTGCAGGGTGCAGGGTGCAATGTGAAAATTGAAATTGACCTTTCTTTTTTAAACATCAAATTAGTTGATTTTTAATTCGATTCCCCAATCTTTATAGTTCATTCTCAATTTTGTGGCTTTTTAAGACATCTTGTTATTTATGTTCCTTATAAGATTTTCATGTTTCATTAAAGTTAATTTTTTTGCCATTTGATTTATAATTACTTGATGTTTCTGCTAAAGTTCTTTTATAATTTTATTAACTATATAAATGTCGATCAATCTTATCAACCCCCCCCCCCCCCTTCCTTTGTGTATCTGGTAAAAATATTTTTTTTGTTGTTTGAAATTTGAAATCTCCAATAACCTAAAATAAAATTGTTTATTTTCTGGTGCAGTATATGTGGTAAGGTTTGCACCAGGTACGTATTTTAGTGATGGCGGATTCAACTTGCAGCGGACTTACAACTTGGAATCGAGCAAGATTACATCCAAAATAACAGTCCAAATGGTTAGATATTATCTATACAACATGGTAATAGGTTTTTCTTCTTCTTTTTATTTTGACTTCATTTTTGTTTTTAATTATTTCATTATATGGGTTTAATCTTTGCAGATTTTGTCCCATTGAATATACTAAATACAATTCCAGATTTTCAAAAACTGTCATGCATGAATGGTTTGTTGAAAAATATTTAATATAACATAGTGATATAAATTTGATATTATTTAATCATAACAAACACTAATAATGCATATTTAGATACGAAACCACTGATGAGTCATTGAAGGCATCCAAGGAGTTAACCAATAGATGGAAACATGATGTAGACGACACAATCGTGGCGAAGGCCAGCTAGCTTGAAAACATGAAAGTTCTCAAATGGTATGTGAAACTCAATCCGGATTTCCAACCTCAAAGTTTTGACTTCTTTGTATAAAATATTTGAAATTTGATTTTGTTTTTGGTTTCTTTTTTTTTTCTATGTTTGTTATAGTTTTAAATTTTTTTACATCAAAAGCTTGAACTTCAACTACATAATAAATAAATTACTATTGTTTAATTTATTTTCTTATTAAATTTTCAGTTGAAGTTATCTTTAATTACTTGATGTTTTGCTCAAATTTTGTCAAACAAACAAGGGTATGAATCAATATTTATGCTTACTACACATCAATCCTCACACTTATGAAGTAGGTTTAATATTTTTTGTGTTTCTTATCATTATTAAAGGTTATTTAAAACATTTGTCCACCAACCAAATATTAAATTTAAAATAAGGCTTTCTGTCAATGTTTGCAGCTTTCTTTGGAAAAACATTATGTAATAGCTCTTTAGCACACTCTCGATCATTTAAGAAGAGTATAAATTAACTTAAACTTTATGTGTATAACCTCTATTTCTTTCTATTTTCCCATCCACTCTTCTTCTGGATAAAAAAAATAGTTGGAAAATAGAGGGAAAAAATAAATGAGGGCAAATTTGTAAAATGTTATACGTAATGGGAAATCCATGACTTTCATTATGAAGTCCTTACTTTTTAATCAATTTATAAGGTCTGTTTAATTTCTGGATTGAATAAACCGTTGTGATAGTAAGTTGTATTAACTCCTAATTAAGTTAACAACAATCCATTTACGTTGAATATTGAGTATGATCCTCCTGTTGGAGTAATTTAGAATAAGGGGAAGGGGCATTTTCGGAAGTTTTTTTTATTCAGTAGTTTTTCTTCCAATATTTTAGTTTGATTCAATTTCTTTTTATGTTAGTATAAATTAGAAGATGCGTTGTTTTGTAATTTAGTTCCAGAACTAGTTTCTCCACCTAATAAAGCGAAGGCTCCAATCAATCTTGTTATCCCCTATTTTCATGTTTTTTCTTCTATGTCCATGTTTTGATCTGTTGGTTCACATCTCCACTAACAAGTTCTATATTATCTATTCCTCTTTAAGAAATCATTTCGTTGGTTTGTATCAAGTGTAAAATTTTCTTAAAGAGTTCATTGCATATGGTTAACTTCATCCTTTTTTTCTTTGAACTAATATGTTCGCCATGTATAAATTACAGTAGGGAAGTTAGCAGGCACCTTGAATTAATGTCCAAATTCACCATATGATAGTCTATGTAAGAATACAAAGTTAGTTATTTGCTCATATTACTTGACAATTAAAAGAAAATATGACTAAATACTCGTTCGTGGACTAATCAATTTATCATGTTGTAAAGTAATATTGTTGTGATTAAATAGATATTAGACAACAACACATTTTAATACTTAAATCCTTTATGTTTTCTAACAAGATCTTAATGCATCAAACTTGAGGCCGTATCTGTAGTTGAAATCAAAATCAAAGTCCCTAACAATAAGAAAGTGTAATATTGTATGTATTTTTGGCTTTACATGAGATTTTTTTACACCAGGCATGGCCATTAGCTCCAACAAGTGATTCAATCATTATATATGTTTGTTAGATAATATTAAGCACAAATATTCTAAACTATAGTGTTGAATTATATGGTCCAGGCCTAGGGAAGAAGTAGGAATGTACTGGGGCTATAAAGTCAGATATGCTCCCAATTTCAGTTCAATAATTAAACATTGCCCATATAAGGTAACAAAGGGCAACACATTCGTATCTATTTCTGGATTAATTCCTTAATCCATAAATAGGAATAAGTGTGTTGCGATTTTGAAATATAGTTAGCAGCAATAAAATGTATCTTATTGTTTGCATTTTTTAGCAGGAAATCAGGTCATTAATTATGTTTTCCTTTTCTACTTTTTTTCCTCTTCTGATTGCTCTTTTTCATTTTAGCAGGTATTCAGGTCATTAACTTGATATCATATCAGGTATTGGATGAGTTTCAAAAATATACATGGCCAGTTCCTGTAGACCAAAAGGCACTAAGGTTCACTGGAACTACTTTAACCATAACTTCTCATTTGTTAGGGAGTATGTGTTCCTGGTTAAGGGGCTAGAGTAATGGTAGTTTTGGGTGGGCCCACAACTAAAGGTCCAAGTTCGTGATTCAGTATCCTTTAGTTTTGGATAAACAATTCCCACCATTGTATTCTTAGTTATTAGCATTGAATGTAAGTCATTCCCATTCTCTTTTCATGATCAAAAGACCGTATCACCCCTGTTTATGCAGACACATCGGAAAACATAGGTGTGGTGTAGCCATAGAAGTAATGTGGCCAGAAGCTTTACATTTTGTCAACTTGATGCATCTAAGTAGAACTTCATGATTGTTGATTTGTTAAGAGAATGGTGGATTTGGAACTGTTTACAAGGATCAGTTAGATTCAGAGAAGGTAAAATATTCAAAACGGTGTCTTTCATATTTTCCATGGGTCGTACACTTGCTACAATTAATGTACTCTTACACAAAAGATTGAACAATTAGTAAAAGGAAACTTATGTTCCTTTTTTATTTTTCCTTGTTGACAAAATATCTAAATTGTTAAATTCTTGAAGTCGCAAATTGTATAAAGTTTGGCGCAATATAGTTTCATAATTCGCTATTAGGGTTGTCAATCTGTGCTTGTTTCCTAGCACAAATTGACAAAATATCTAAATTGTTAATTTACTAATTAGGACACCATAGATTGATATATCAGAACTTGAGAATCTTTTCTCAGCTGCAATTCCCCCTGACAAGAATGTTACAAAATCAAAATCTGCTCCAATTGCTAATAAACCAGAAAAACTTCAACTGGTAATATATAGTAATATACTATCTGTCATAGTTTAATGTATATTTATTTATATATAATTTTGACTTTTTTGACCTTGTTACAGATTAATCATAGACGAGCATACAACGTTGAGATCATGCTTTCAAAGGTGAATATACCTTTGCATGAACTAATGGTAAGCTGGCCAAAGTTGTTAAAATATTTTTGTATGTTAATTTATATAATTCATAATAATAAAAAATGGCAGGATTATATTAGCATATTAATTTTTTGATAAGTTGTTAGTATAGGTATTAGCCATTCAAACCGTTAGGATCCTTTCCAGATGTTCACTTTTCCCTCATTTGAGGAGATAAGTTTGTTATTATTATTTTTTTCTTTTTTCCTTTCTGAGTGTGGATATGGAAACTTCATGCACAATTTTATTACAATTATTTTCCAGGTCATATGAATGATTAAATGTCGACACTCGACATGCACCTGAATTCTAAATTTTGTGGTGCTTGTAGAGTGTCACGTATTGATTGATTAATGGTTTGGTTGAGCACAAGTCACATGATACTTCATGCATAGTTTGGATAATATTAAATTGTTAATGGTTCAGCTTAGAATTCAAGCGATTTCTAATGTTTAATGATTAATTTCACAGGTGATGACCTTACATGTGACAATGCAAATCTTGAAGGTGAATCAGGGTCACGCTCTAAGCAATTGAGAAAGCTACTTCTATTCTCTAGGAACGTTTAATGATCAATTTCTCCTGGTTTCCATGGCTGCGAGGTGAAATTGATGTTAACTCTTTTTATCTTGGATTACTTGACTGGTATTATAGCAACCAAATGTCTCATTTTCATTAATTTGGCTAAAAAAACTATTTTCATTGCCTATTAAGTCACTAAATTAACATTTTATGTTAAATATGTCACCATGCTTACAGTTTTTTCTGACTTCCATTTTTTTATAACATAATAAAACCTCACTCGCTGATGTCATCTTTTCTGACTTCCATTTTTTTTATATAATTTTTATTTGGGTCAGGAGGAGGCTGTTGATGACAAAGCACCACAATCTGAAAGAGGCATCAAGTCACGTGCAATTCTTGGTAGACAGGTCAAAGGAATTGTCATAGAGCAGGTTGTTATAATGCTTCACATGTTCAAAATAGCAATTTACTTTCTTTATTTTGTTTATCGTAACATTATACTAAAATTCTTTCTAGGGTATTCTGCTCATTTACATTGCAAATTTGCTGCTTTAGTTCAACATCCAGATGGAGGTCAAGTCACTAAGTTTCTTGCTTGTTGACTATTTGTTGACTTTTTTAAAAGATTTTTATTTTCCAGTTATGATTTCAACAGAATATTGAAGTTGAATCGGGTCTCGGTCCATATGAGATTGAATATGATGAAGAGTGGCTAGCAATCACCCGTAGAAAGGTATTGGTACATCCAATATTGAAATGAACAATTTACCCTCGACATTTTCCTTCATAGTAAATCCTCCCCTGAATACTAAATCCATACCATAGGTGTAGTATGTAAACTATTTATTAACAAATAAATAAATCAATATGAAAACCTCACAGCAAATATAAGTAAAATGTTGGTTGATATTTTTTTTATATTTTTCTTGTTTCCAGGGAGTGGCTTAGCTGGAATGAGGTAAAGGGAGTGGGTTGGCCTTTTGTTTTTTTGTTAAATGATAATCGTTACTGAAAGGAAGAAAAATCAAAATTTAATTTTGATTTATTTGATGTCTCGTGCCTTGTAGGTTCATGGTGGTCAGCAGTCCATGTAAGTTTCTTGATTTGTAACATCTTATATTCAAGAAATAGCAATGTACTTTCCATAAAAAAATTATGATTTATATTCTTTGAAAAAATTGCTAGATAGGTAGGTTTAAAAGTAGAATGTCCTAATAAGAATTAATTTTAAAAGTAGAATGAAAATGATAAGTGATTTTGTGTTGTGTTTACAGGGTTGATGAAAGCGAATAGCTTTGGAGTTAGAAGAGGAAAAGTAAGCTCAAGCTGAAAGAGATAAGATACTACAAATGCAAGTGTTCCATTCTCCATTTCAATTGTTAGTATGAAACACAGAGTAGATTAGATGAATGCAAATTTATATATTGTAAGAAATAGAATTGTATGACATTAAATTTTATGCAACGGATTGTATTTTTTATATGGTATTTTATTTCTATTATGAGACAGTAAATGAAAATTTAATTTAAAAATTAATAAATATATAAATAGATTTTTTTTAAACATTTAAATTTACGATACGCAAAAATGTGTGTCATCTTCATTTATGACATGGCCTTTCTTGACAGGGGTTTTAATGATACGCATTGCGTGTCATTAACACGCACGTCGTAATGTGATGACACGCGAATGCGTGTCATCTTCCTTAATGACAGGGCCTTCCTTGATACGCATTGCGTGTCGTAAACGCGCGTCGTAATTGTGCGTCGTAAATGAGCATCGTAAATGCGCGTCGTCTCTCTTTATGATAGGGACTTCTTTGACGCGCATTTGCGCATCGTCTGAGCCTTTTACGACGCGCAATGAGCGTCGTAAAAGGTTGCTTTTCTAGTAGTGCATGTTGAGGTCCAGGGCGAAGGACTGGTGGAGGTTGATGACATGGTCTTATTCAGATGAGCAGATAGCTACAGTTTCTTGGGATCAGTTTAGGGAGATGTTATGCTCCCGTTACATTCCGTGAGTCAAGCGTGAGCGGCTAGCTCAGGAGTTCTTAGAGTTGAGATAGGGCATAGAGTCGGTGACGGAGATCACCCGTATGTTCACTGAGAGGGCGATGTTCTGCCTGGAGTTTGCTTCCGAGCAGGCTCAGATGACGTGTTATCTGAGCATGCTCAAGACTGACATTAGACAGTTTATTGCTACCCAATGATATGATAGGTTGCTGAACTTACAGGAGGCCGCTAGGCGGCATGAGCTGGAGATTCAGTTGCAGTTGCGAGAGTAGAGGTAGGCCTGGTGCAATCGCAACCGATGCCAAAGCGGTCCAAGACCGTTGATTCTAGGGTTGGAGGTCAGGGCGGCCGCACTTGTGAGAAGTGCAGGAAGGGTCATATTGGAGTTTGTAAGTCTGGTGGTGCGTGTCGTAAGTTCGGAAAGGAGGGGCATTATGCGAGGGATTGCCGCCAGTTGGCCCCGGTTCAGGACGTGAGGATTTGTTATCACTGCCATCAGGTTGGTCACGTGAAGGCCAACTGTCCACAACTTGTTGCAAGACTGGTGTAGACTCCATTGCCGGCTACATTGAGGATTACTGGCGGGGGTCAGGGTGGAGCAGAGCCTCCGAGGGATTAGGGATATGCCTTCTAGCTTATAGCAGAGGAGGTCAGGATAGCATCAGAGGTGGCTGATAGTATGTTTCTATCTTTTATCTTATTGTTTATGATTCTATTGTGAATTATTCTTCCATTCCTTTCTGCATATGTCATAGCGACATAAGAGAGTTTTAGGAATTTAGTATCACGGGGTTGTAGACGGTTAGTATCCAGGGTTTTGGTGATCAGATGTTAGGATATAGGATCTCTGTTATAGGGCTAGTAGCTATGAATAGGAGATGCAGAAGTGTTCAGCTGGGATTCGGGTTTCTTTTGAAGTTCGGTTGCACCATGTCGGAATGGTTGTTCTATGGAGGATGTTCACTTCAGGGTTAATCGATCCATAGATAAGGATGCTAATACCGAGTAGGGACGATTAAGTTGTGTTGGTTTTGCCATTAGCAGGTAGTAGCTAGTGTTCCAAGTAGGGGAGAATTGGAAATTATCAGGTAAAGCAGTGGTCATTAGGATTCTGTTAGCGGCCAGGGTTAGACAGTACTTTCAGTAGGTATACAGGTTACTTAGCGCATATGGTAGGTGTGCAGGTCAGGGATTGGGCCACGGATTTTCGAGTGGGTGGACGATCGACATGAGACCTAGGGTTAGGCCGGGGTTATGGTCCACAGAATGGATCAGGAGTTCGGAGCCCCAAGAAGGTGAGAACAGGCTGCATGGGAGAGAGAGCACCTGGAAGGGGGGATGGCCCAGGGTGAGGCTCAATAGTTTAGACCGGTCAGGATAGACTAAAGGCTGGTGGGGCGTACTAGTCAGGCCGAAGGCTCGGAGAATTGTCCAGATAGGCTGAAGGCCCAGAAAGGCGGTCTAGACATGCTGAAGATTTTGAAAGTGGTCCCGATAGGCTGAAGGCCCGGTGAGGGGGTCCAGTCATGCTACAGACTCTGTATGTGTTATAGATCTATGTGCGGGTATTGAGTATGCTGCTATGCTATAGTATTCGGTAGGTTTGTCCCCAAGTATTGAACATGCTGTTGGAGTAGGCTGAAGACTCCATGATATTTTAGTTTGATCAGAAGTTGTTATTAGAGATCGGAGGGAGTGCAGAGGATCTCGGTGATATCATCAATCCAAAGTGTCTCGAAGGATTAATCTTCTTGGATTGGGTAAAACTCCAGTTGGGGACTGGGAGTAGATCCGGATGGGTATTCATCAGCTTTACGAAGACTTAGAATTGGAATGTCCTGTCAGTTTGGTTCTGGGAACCGGGTTAGATCTTTCTCCTGATCGTCTAGGGACACATTGCATGTGGGTAGGGTTGAGGCGGTCCTGCTCTATGTGGTAGGGTCCCAAAGCATTAAAATGAAGTCCCATTTCTATGCATGGTTCATTTTGGACAATTTGAGCTGTCCTTTTAGACTCTAGAATGGTTCCCAAGGCATAAAAATGAAGTCCCTTGGGCTAGTTGGGTCCCTAGTTCTTCGTAGGAGGTCTTAATGAATCAATACCATGCATTTAGCCCTTTTCAGTCGACCAAAGTCTTAAAGTTTGAGACTTTATGGTCCTAGAGCGCTTTTGAGAAGTAGATCTCAACTTTAAGCTTAAGAGCTTAACCTATTAAACACGTATAAAGTTTTAAGATCTGTGAGTTTACGCCCCATGTAAATCCAGTACGCCCAGCATACTGCGTTAACCACCCCGATGGTGGTCAACCTCAGGAGGGTCCGCCCAGCATACCAGAGGAGTACCCCCGTTGCTTTCTCTGATTGGGCTTATGTTATTTGGGTTGGTTATGGACTAGTTGGACTTGGGCCTTTCTTGGACTTTATGGATGTGGTGTTTTGGACAAAGTCTTGATAATGGGTCTCAGAATTAGGCCCAATTAGGGAGTTAGGCCCAATTTGGTAAATTGGGCCAATAATGGGCCTTACGTATGTGGCCTTGTGAATCATGGATTCGGTATTGGGCCTTAACCCAAATTAGAGAAAAGACAAAACGGACTATATGGACCCCGTAGTTAGAATTTATAGCCTATATGTTGACTCAGCATTCGTTATTCTGGATATTTAGGGATTTTCGGTGAAATAGCATTTTGGGAGTTGATACTTCAGTTCAGACCGACACTGCGAGGTGGGTTATCCTCACTATATCAACGATGTCTAAGGCACCAAGGCCGACCCTCTATATATATTTGTATCTAGATTATGGCATGATATGTTTATTGATTACATCCTGGTAGTTAGGATGGTGTTATGTTATGTTAGTGACTTGGTTTAGGTCGGTGTCCTGGTATATAGGATAATGCTATGTTAGTGACCGGTTAGGTTGGTATCCTGGTTAGGATGTTGCTATGCTATATGATCTGCTAGATTGTTTTGGTTATCTGTGGACTGTTATGTGATTATCTGTTATATGTGCACATGGTTGTTTGATTGGGGTTTGGGTTGAGGCAGGATGTGCTTTGTGTTATAGGCCAACATACCCAGGGCAGACTGAATAGATTGCAGACCCAGGAGGGCACATAGTCAGGCCGAAGGCCTGACGAGCGGTCCGGATAGGCTGAAGGCCTCGAGAGTGCGGTCCAGACATGCCGAAGATTGGAGAGTGGGCCAGATAGACTAAAGGCCCAACACAGGCGGTCCAGTCATACTGTAGACTCAAAGAGTGGACCAGGCGGACTGAAGGCCCGGTGCGGGCGGACCAGTCACACTGTAGACTAAAGATGCATGGTTGCTCTTTATTTGTTGATATGATATGATTATGATTGTATGGCGTTGGTATTTTTGGGGAAACTCACTAAGCTTCAGACTTACAGTTGTTGATTTTGTTTCAGGTACTTCTAAGGATCGTGGGAAGGTGAAGGTGTGACCGTACACTTCCTCATGGTTTGGTTTGGCTTTCTTGTATACTATGATATGAACTATTTTGGAAACCTTTTTGTAATAACTTTGAGTATTTGAAATGTTTTAAAAGTTTAAATTTGGCATGAATTTTATGGTCGTTACACCAACGAGGGAACCTTCCCTGTCCACATCTCGTGAGGTGTTTTGACAACCTTCTTCATTGGGACTAGATTAAGAATATGGACGACAGTATCTAAGGTATACCCCCAGAATGAGATTGGTAGCAAATTTCGACTCATCATGGATCAAACCATGTCCAACAAGGTGTCAATTGTGAAACAATTCCACATTCCTTGAGGTAGTCATGGAACTCGATACTAAGATACTCACCACTTCTATCAGATATGGGCATCTTTATCTTCCCGACTAATTGATTTTCGACTTCATGTTTAAACTCTTTGAACTTTTCAAAAGTTTTTGACTTGTGCTTAATTAAATAGATATATCCATATCTATTATAATCATCTGTAAAGGTCACATAAAATTGATTTGCATCCCTTGTGGTGGATCTAAAGGGCCCACACACATATGTGTGTATGAGATCAAAAAATCCTTCACCTCTTTCACAAGAACTAGTGAAAGGTGATTTAGTCATCTTTCTAAGTAAACAAGACTCGCATGTATCATCCGACCTAATGTCAAATGATTCCAACACTCCATCCTTTTGGAGTTGGGAAATGCATTTCTTGCTCACATGTCCAAGATGACAATGCCATAAGCATGCTTTGTCTAAACCATTAGACGCATCAATTTGTAACACACTATTTCCTAAATTGTCTACAACCATCACAGTTTCATAAACACCGTCATAAGGTAATGCTTCAAAATAAAATGCACCATTATAATAAGAGTTAATAGAACCATTCTCATTATTAAAAGAATATATGAAACCTTTTTTATATTAACCATGAAAAGAAATAATATTCCTTGTCATTTCTGAAGAATAACAATAATTATTCAAATCTAAACTTAACCCACTACTAAGAACTAAAGAGTGAATCCGAATCTTGGTAACATGTGATGATCTCCTATTGCCCATGATCAGGTTCATCTTCCTATGCTCCACATCCTCACTTCTTCTTAGCCCTGCAAGACAGAACAAA